AAAATGCTTTTATTTTATTTATTTATTTGTTTATTCTTTAAAATTTTAACATTTCTAATTCTAATTTAACTTTTTCATTTTCAGCACGTAACTTTTCTATTTCTAACTTGTCCTTTTCTAATTCATATTGTTAAATTAATCATTTTTCTTCTAATTCAAACTTTTTTTGAATTTGCATTCCTCTAAATCTAGTTTTTTTTTATAAAACCTATCCCTTGACTCACCCATTGTAGCAATTTCTTCAAATAAAAATCCAATTCCATTTACTTTATTTTTTTTCTTCTTAGTTTCAACAATTCCACCATTTTTTTTATTAATTAAATTTTCATTATTAGAAATAGAATCTATAGTTGAAGAATCTGTAATATAATCTGGATTAACAGCTTTATTTTGTGATAAAATTTCCTCCATTTGTGAAAACCAAACCCAATTGACACTTTCTTCACCAGTAGAATTAGCTTTTTTTTTTGCAGATACATTTCGCATAATTTTCCTACTTTATTTCTAATTTGCTTATAAGATCTACTTGGTAATATATTTGCATTTACTATCTTTGATAAACTTTTATTTTTTCGCGTTTTCAATCTTCTAAATTTCACCCCAAAATTCAAGTAAATTTTTAATTTCCATATCTGTCCATTTGGTATTATCTTCACTTGGATTTATTTCATTTTAGAAACCTTTTTTTGCATTTATTAGTTTTAACTGATGGCTGAATATGTAAGAAAAGAAATTAAATAAATATCGTATATATATAATAAAATTTTAGACAAATATTTTAGAAGAACTTATTAAAGAAAAATCTTCAAATTTTTGTGATTCTGCTTGTATAGTTATAATATTTACATCTGACTATTTAATATAAACATGTTAATAATTAAATTGAATAAAGTAACATTAGAAAAAAAATATAAATATAAACCTCTAGATCAATTACTTCTTTAGATTTAAGAGGAAATATATTTGAAGTTTCCAATGTAATTGGTTTGGAAGTATAGGAACAGGTTTTAATCGCGGTTTAGTTTTTGGATCATATTTTGATTCTATATTTTTTAAATTTGTGAAATCATTTTTTTTTTAAAAAGAACATGAGCGCGCTTTTTTTCAGAACATTTAGATCATCAAATTTTTGATCAGTTTGAGGCAAATAAACTAATAAAGATCTATGAAAATTGGATCCCAAACTTTCCAATGTTCCAAAAATCACCTAGAAATATTTTCAGCATATCATCAATTTGATACTTGATTCTCATTTTACTTATAGTTTCGGAGAAACTTTAATAATGCATTAAGTAATAATGACATATCAGATATTACACATTCATTTGAAATAATACTTAGAAGTTGTTTCTCAAATAAATTTTCAAGTTTCTTGAAATTCCGATGGATCTCCAACGATAATAATTTAATGTTTAGCAATGCTTATAAACTGTACGAATGTATTCCCAGATTTTGCACTATATAAAGTTTTACCAAGTGAAATCTCTGAAAGGTGACCGTCTTTGCTTTTAATTGTCTTATTCGTCACACATTTTCAAATAGCGACATTCTCTGTGTTGTAACAGGTTTGTGGCAATTCATAACCAAATGATGGTTCAATATCATGAAAGGAAAGTAATCTTTTCAAGTGAAAAAGGATAGATCCCGTGAAATGATATAAGTGATGTTTTACGTGTGATCCCAAAGTCATTATCTCTAAAGATTTGATAGCCAAACTTATGTTAGTATAAATTTTAGTTCCAAATCAAAGTTGATGACTTTTTCATTACATCCGGATTGTTAATTCAACTTGTGTAATCAAATAAAAGATTTTCGCAGAGAGATGAAATTGTTAAACACTTGACTTTTAAGAAATATGGTAAAAATTTGATGTTAATATTAAATAGCTACTTGCTTCTGACCATGAACTTCCTTGGATTACTCCAAAAGTATTGTTACAGCGGTTTCACACCAAGTTTATTTACAAAGAGACATGAATAAATAGATTCTTTTATGTGAACTCAACACCTCAATGATTATGAAAAGGACATCATTATTGAATATAGACATTTCAAATTAAAAAGATTGGAATAGATTTTGTGACAGTCATTTCATTTAAGGTCAAGTCTTTATACGAAATAAAAATTAGCTTTGTCTATCATTTTCAAATGTGTCTAAATCAATGTGAAAGTGAAATTTGATGAGTTTTTTGAATGTAAATACAAAAAGATTATAATGTTAAAGTAATTTAAAATCCAATTTTTATGCTTCTTCATGAAAGATTCATTTTCATATTATTATATACTTAACGTCAAAGCATTAATTAAGTCTAATTTAAAATTTTGTAATTTTATTTAGAAATACATTGAAATGCGTTAGATAAATCCATTAAAGAAATTAATAAACAAATGAAAATATAAGGAAATTTGTTATTCATTTACACTAAATTGTTTTCTTTTTGAACTTCACGTTATTCACTACTAGTTTGGAGCATAAACTAAACCGTTTGAGCAACTTAACATCACTACATTAAATAAATGCTTGATAACGCGCGCATGTGATATCTTAATTTTATTATGCATATTTCATTATTTACTTAAACTCTGAATTACTGGCATAACGAAATAATAATTTAACTTAAAATTAAAAACAATTTAATAAATGTAATTAACAAGAGTAATAATTTTACTTTTGGCAAATAACTTTGGTTACTAGTTGCTTTACAAACGGTGTCAGAATTCTCCTCTTGTTATTGTTGTTTAGCTTGTAACTTAAATATGGAATCCTTTCATTAGTGAAGATTTAAAAAACTCTCAATAATACAATAATAGAAATAAATAATCAAGCGTCCTTTCATTTCCTATTAGTTCTTTCTTATTCGGATTGTATACTTGCGTGGGCAACGGGCAAGTTAGTTTTCTTTTATATTTATTTTTTTTTAGTTTCAGGTTTAGTCGTTTCGTATCCAGCTCCCGAATAATATCTATTTATTTTATTTTTTTTAGAATTTAGTTTTATTTAGGTTGGAGTTGGTTTATTTTCGTCTTTGATAACTAAGGGTGGCAGCATGATTTTTCAATATGTATAAGTAGGTATTTTTATATCTCCCTTTTTCACATTATTTTTTTCATTATTCAAATTTTTAATTTTTCGTGACGGATGATTCTTTATAGTCGAATTATACTTTTAGACAATTTTTTAGGAGTTCTTTTCATGAGTAAGATTTTTTTTTATCAAATTTTAATTTTTTTTTTTTTTTTTTTTATGGTGGATGCAATTATTTTTATTCAAAATACTTATTTAAGATTGATAGGAAATTGAGGATAATTTAAAAAAATATGAGTAGCGTGATAAGACTTTTTTATATGCAAGGCGTAAGCTTGAACAACCAAAAAGTTTCTTTTCTCTATAAAATTTAATTTAAACAAACTAATATAATAAATAAAAAAAAATATGTTATTTTCATTAGAATTAGTCATAAATTATTTTACGAGTTTTAAAAAATAATATCTTAAAAAAATTGTACAAAATAAATAAATTTTAAATAAATTAAAGTTTTGCTAAATGTGCTTAAGCCTTTTAAATTAACTTAAGAAGTCTTTTTAAGGGTTGTCTGAAGTTGGAATTCAGATAACAAAAAGGATGTAATCTCAATTTCAGTAACAACAGAAATACCAATCTCGCATTATTGTTTGTTTGTTATTAATGCCATCCAAAGTAAACTTAACTGAGGCTCAAAGTGATTTATCATAAATTTATTTGAAATCAAGAAAATTATTAACTTTTCTTTGTTTAAGTTCTTGAAACTTATGCTGTTCCAACTATTAAATACAATGAAAAGTTAAAAATAAAATATATTTTTTACATAGAAGGCAAGCACGAGATTTTCAAAAGTAAAAATTTTAATGAAATCTTACTACCCTAATCTTAATCTTAATTGGAGTATATAAGAATTCACTTGCTGCTTTCGCTGTGGAAGATTTAATATATATTTTAATTTATTAAAAGATTTTTTTTAAAAAAAAAAATAATGAATTTAAAATGATGGAACCTGAAACTTTGTTATCTTTACTACGTTCATTACGAAATTTAAAATTTGATTGTTAAATTTATAAATTTTAGCTTAAAGTATTGCTCGATTTATTTATCTAATAAAGATTTTTTTTTTTCTAATACATAATAAATTCCACTCTAAATTTAATCTTTGTAAATAATTGACATTAAAGCAGATTACAATAATTGATCAAGAAAAATATAATATCTAAAATTATTGTTGTAAACAGAAGATTTTAAAAATCTTTTTAGATTTATTAAAAATTATTTTTAAGAGTTAAAATGTATAAATGAGAAATGAAGGAAAAAGAAAGTTCTAGTCCCAATTATATTTTCAAATCTGCATTTGAAAGGAAATGAAAAAGATTACGCTAGTTTTGATAGAAATAAGCGTATAAAAAAAATCATGAAGCAAATAAAAGCTAAAAAATAATTTAAAGGAAAAGTTTAATAGTAATTTTAATTTAGAATAAAGAAAGCTTTAATTCTATATTCAAATTGTCTGTCTTTTGCTAAGTATGCAAATATGGCCATAATTTGTTCTCGATACTAAGGATAGAATAATACAATTTAATCAAAGTATTAAATTATGTAAAACTAATTATATATTTTAAGATACTTGAAAGGTTGTGAAGAAAGATTTAGGCAATAGTACAGAAGTTATTTGACTCGGTAGGATAGTTATTGAAATGTTGAGTTTTTTAAAGATTTAGGTCTGATATCAATTAAGGAATCGGGTAAATTTGGTAAGCTATTTATTTGAGTTTCATAGAACCAGAGTGTCTTTAAGGAATTTGGTAAAGTTGGTAGGATAGTTATTTTAGTCTTATAACACACGAGTTTTGTTAAGGAATTGGACAAAGTTGGTAGGATTGTTATTGGGGTATCAGAGCAATCAAGTTCCGTTAAGAATTTGGGTAGAGGTGGAAGGATAGTTATTTTAGTATGAGAGCAATAAAGTTTCGATAAGGAGTTGGGTAAAGTTGGTAAGCTATTTATTTTAGTACTAGAACACCACAATGATGTTAAGGAATTTGGCAAAGTTGGTAGGATAGTTATTGGAGTACCGGAGCAATCAAGAAAAGTTAAGGAGTTGGGTAGAATTGGTAAGCTATCTATTCTAGTGCTATAACAACCGAGTGTAGTTAAGGAGTTGGGTAAAGTTGGTAAGCTATTAATTTTAGTATTATGACAACTGAGTGTAGTTAAGGAGTCGGGTAAAGTTGGTAAGCTATTTATTTCAGTGCTATAACAACCGAGTTTAATTAAGTAGTTGGGTAAAGTTGGTAGAATAGTTATTGGAGTATGAAAGCAATAAAGTTTTGTCAAGGAGTTTGGTAAAGTTGGTAGTTTAATTATTTGAGTATAAGAGCAATCAAGTTCCGTTAAGAATTTGGGTAAAGGTGGAAGGATAGTTATTTTAGTATGAGAGCAATAAAGTTTCGATAAGGAGTTGGGTAAAGTTGGTAGGGTAGTTATTGGAGTATCAGAGCAATCAAGTTCCGTTAAGGAGTTGGGTAATGTTGGTAAACTAGTTATTTGAGTAACAGAGCATTTAAGTTCAGTTAAGGAGTTGGGTAATGTTGGTAAACTAGTTATTTGAGTAAAAGAGCATATAAGTTCCGTTAAGGAGTTGGGTAATGGTGGTAAGCTATTTATTTTATTGTTACAACACTCAAGTTTTGTTAAAGAGGTGGGCAAAGTTGTTAGGAAAATTCCGTAGTATTTAAGTTCCGTTAAGGAGTTGTGTAAAGTTGGTGAGATATCACACTCGAGTTTTGTTAAGGAATTGGGTAAGGTTGGTAGGATAGTTATTTGAGTTCCTAAGCAACTAAGTTCCGTTAAAGAATTTGGTAAAGTTGGTAGGATAGTAATTGGAGTATTATCGCAATCAAGTTTCGTTAAGGAATCGGGTAAATTTGGTAAACTAATTATTTTAGTATTAGAACACCAGAGTGTCGTTAAGGAGTTGGGTAACGTTGGTATGATAGTAATTGGAGTATTAGAGCAATCAAGTTTTGTTAAGGAGTTGGGTAAAGTTGGTAAACTTGTTATTTGAGTACCAGAGAATTTTAGTTCTTTTAATTTTGGATATCTTTGTAATCCACCAGGAACGTTTAATATATCATCCTTATTTGTATTAGTAATCTTTAATCCGATGATAACATCATAAATCTTATCTAATGCTTGAGTTTTGATTTTTTTTTCTAAATTACTAATTATTTCTTGCTTGGTTCTGACTTCTTCGTCTCGCTTTTTAATCGTTTTTTCTAGCATATTAATAATTTCTTTCTTAGTGTTAGCTTCTTTTTCTTGTGTTTTAGTTTTTTCTTCAAAATATTTAGATTGAGAGCATACATTTGATAATTCCTCTCTTTTTATTGTTAAATCAGAGTCTAAGTTTTGAATAACTTGCTTTCGGTTATCTAATTCTGATAATATCTCAGTAAGTTTCCGTCCTGCTAATAATTCTTTTAAATTATCTAAATCCTTACTTCCGATTTCATTCAATAAAAAGGAATATAACAATTGAATTTCATCGTCGACTTTCTTTTTGCTTAGTTCTAATTCCTTAATACTGTTATTCAATTATTTCAAATCTTTTTCTAAATTACGTTTTAAAACCATTTTTACGATGTAAGAAATGGTGAAATTAATTTCAGCCTTCGAATATCATTCCTTTTTTAACCATTTTGAAAGTTTTGACATTTCTATTTAAGGTTAGTGTCAAAAATGCTTTACTCTTCATATTTTAAACTTCTGTCCATGACGGCGTTTCATGTTAAAATCTATAAATTATCCGAGTTCTAATGGTAGAATTCTCGCAAAATTTTTTTTCTTAAATGGAATGAATGAGAAATCTAATATTTTTTATGGAATGATACTTTTTTTAATGAAATTAGAAAAT